TTCTTGGTGACTCCAACTTCATCACTCATTACTAACTAATATTCCAAATCAATAAGTTTCAGTGTTCATTTTATCAATGCCACAAGATGAAGAAAATTAGTCACTGATACATCATGTTGTTTTTTAATGGTCTGCAAAGGGAAGCAGACAAAAGAATTCTAGTATAGATACAAGGTAAGTCTGCAAGACCAGCCACCATTCCATACTTTCTGTCTCTTCATTGCATCTCAATCAGAAAATCTATACACCAAAGGAAAAATCTAGAAATTACAACACCGTAGTTTAAAAATCATCTAAGATACAATTTCAACACAAAGAGATCTCCTAAAAATATACAATCTTTCTAACATCTGGCTGATTCAACAAGCTAATTAGACCATACATGAATCAGTCCATGTCTGTTTCCGGTGTAGATCTCGTTGCGCTCCTCATCGTAGAAAAGGGCAGTTATGTCTTCCAATGCCTCTGCAACTGTGCTCCTCATCTGGGTAGAGCTGCCTGAACCGCTACTGCACCCATTTACCTTAGGAGTGCCACTAGCGGAATTTATTTTGGCTAAGCATTTTCCAGTCAGAATATTGCTGATATTTATAGACCCAGCTACATCAAAAACAAAAGAATAAGAAACTGTAACCCCATCAACAGCATTATTCTCTTCATTGAATCATGACTAAACTAGACAATCCATTATAAATCTTAATAACAGCATGTTTCATCCTATGTTCTAATTATCTTGTCCCAGATGGATATACACAATTGCCAGCTCACTTGAGAGTCGGTGAACCAAATAAATAAGAGGAAAACTGCAGGACAACAGGGAAATTAGCTTCATTTTGTTTTAAGCTATCATAAACAAGAACACTCGCTTCTGTCACCAATTAAATTGTCTTAGTGGATCCTTCAATCAATTTCTTCAAAATTCAAGGTGATCTAGTGGAAAACTACTAGCGAACAAATTTTAATTGAACATGGTATATAATCTGGGTGTCTGCTAGCAGGAAAACAAAATGCATCCCAAATGGATGGTCCAAAACAATGTACCTATCACCGGCTGCAGCACTAAGATATTTCACAAGCAGAATGGGCAGACAGAATAGAACTGTAACTAATTGATTATGGACATAATAACTTAATTTCCTAATAATTATTACGCTGTCATATATTTTATCATATATTATTATCATACACTAGATTAAGCAGCATGGAGAAGCTTGTCTAGCCAATTGTGACTATGCTTGGCTCCTGTTACACATATGCTAGAGGAAAAAATGCTCAGGCATTTGATTCTATCTATTACCCAAAAGGAATAAGAATTACCATTTCCTTCCGTCCATTGATCTTCAGATTCAGCTTTGCAGTAAGAAATTATTAGATCCTGATCACTTGTTATGTATATGTTATTCGTATTACAATCTGGATGCCATAACAGGTGATCCTCAAAGGAAGTTACAAGCTCTCCACGAAAGTTCCAAACAGCAACAGTCCGGTTTCTGAATGTTAGGAACAACTGGTTTTCATACAGAAAAATAAATGCTGATGGAGTCATGAATTCTGTTCTGCTAACTTCCATCAATTCTGCATTTCGAACCTATGAAATGCCAATTATTACAATGTCAATATGAAAAAAAGCAGGCAGCCAGGCAGCATGTATGAGACTAAATAGATAAACACATACATCGAGAATCTGGAGGTTCTCATTTTCTTGCTTGACAAGAAGCTTTTCGTTGAATTGTTCAATAAAATCAACCTTCTTATTTCGATGAAGCAGATGGTTGAAAGCTTTGAGAACTGTACCATCTTCTATGGATAAAATCTTCAAGGGAACATGACTACTAGCTCTTTTGAAAATCAATAACATGATACCTGGACTGTTATGACTAAAAAATCGGTAAGATTGTTGAGGAGTTGAGGTAAGTAGCAGATAATTAGGGAACTGTCATGGAATTAGTGTAGTTACTTGTTAGGCACCAAAAGTAAAGGGTACAAGTGTCATGCATTGTTCAGAGCTTTCCAGTGAATGTCTTCTCCCTCACTCTCCCCTCTACCTAAATTTTAAAAGTATCGGAAAATTGACATCATACCCTAATCCAATCCTAGTTTTAGTTAAACAAAAATTAAACTATACAGTAAGAAAAGCATCACATGTTTCTTTAGTTGTGTTAAAGTTCACCATAAATTCTAGATTGGAAAGGAAGGTCAAATGTCTTTCGCTTGCCTGATTTTGTTGGATTGCATGTGAGGCAGACTATTGCATGGTTCTATCTTGTGGAAGAGCGATGGCTTTCCTTGCACCCTGACTAAAGCATTTCTACATTTCTTCTCCAAGGATTGGGTATGCAGCTGTTTCTAGTAAAATTTAAGGTTGGATATCATGCGGAATAGGGAGATTCCAGAATTGAACATACTCTAATGCTCTGAGATACTGATGTAATTATAATCTTCACAAATAATTAAGGCAGTTTAGTTTGTTATGGAACTACTAGAAATAGACTTATTATTAGCTTAGAGTTTTGTTTCATACTTCGGTAGAAGTCTTATTTTGTTACTGTTTTCCTATTTCAGGTTCAGGGTTTAGGAAGTCAAACAGAATATTAGTGGTATCTCCAAGATTTTCTCCAAGGAGTTGGTGGCCTTTAATTAAAATTGATAAGGTTTCAAACCTAGCCAAACTAGACGTAACAAACCTCATTTCTTTCCACGAGGACCTGAAAATAGCACAGGGGATGAGGATAAGAAACTTTTTCTTGATCAACAAACCAGAAATTCCCATGAGATTGAGCACTAAATCCTATAACCTTCTCCCCTAAGGGCACGAAAAGAGAAGATGAGCTGAATTCATTATCTAGCTTAGAGAATGGGCACTGGTTGGCAATGATGCAGCCCTTTTTCTCAAGCTGTTCATGATGCAGAACCGTCCAAAGCCTAAATAAGAATGATTACAATAGCTTCTAAGACATTTAGGAAATAGTATTTTTCATCTAAAGACTAAATGAGAAGAATGGTGAAGATAGCTTTTAAGAGATTTATTCTTATTTTTCTATTTAGGAAATAGTACTTCTAGGATATTTGAGTAATTTAATTATCTAAGAACCTTTCAAAACTTTGGATTTGTTTTCCTATTAGTACTTTTCCCTTTTCGTCAAAATTAGAATCTGTAAAAAGATTTCTAATCAACAAGTTATGGTATCTTGGAATTGATCATTTTCTAGTGAAATTGTTTCATGTTTCTGTCATGACCCAGGTACATTGTTCTGTTTTAAGAAAGTATGTATTCAGGTTTGAGATAAAGAGGGGGAGAGTGAGAGAAAAAATAAAAGAATTCGAGAAATATAGAGTAAGAATATCAAGAGAAAGAGTGAGAAAGTCAGAGAGGAAAGATAAATATTGAGAGAGAGGAATAGAAATTTGAAGGAGATAATGATAAGGTATTCAGAATATTTCATTCATCGGTTGATTACATAGATGAACATAAGTGATTTATATAAAAAAAAATGCATGAACAAGTAAATAAACAATCAATCTTCCATGGAAGCCAAAGGGGTTGTAGAGAAAATTCCTAAATTCATTAATGGAGATAAAAGAGAAGCGGCTGGCTAACTATGAATTGAGAGGATTCAAGACCTCTCGGGTTTGGATTTCCTGCAGACATTTTCATAGTTATTTTCGTGCACCCTTGCAGACCTTGTACTTCCTAATTTATATCTTCTTGTTTGTACTCGGGATCCTTACAGTTTCTCTCCAG